ATGAGACATCCAAATGACTAAATTGTAGATTAAGAGAAAACCTCAGCTGGGCACTATGGCTCACGTCTATAATCCTAGCTACTTGGAAAGCTGAGATGGGGAGGATTGGGGCTTGAAGCCAGCACAAGCAAATAGTTCTCCAGACCCCATCTCCAAAATAACCAGAGCAAAATGAACTGGAAGAGTGGCTCAAGCAGTAAAGCTGTTTTGCAAGTGCAAAACCAGGTTACACCAAAAAAAAAAAAGTGGAAATAAAAAATACTGTAAAGTGTACATGGAAATTATGGGATGCAATGAAAGCACCACTTAAAGGAAAATTTGTGGCCTGAAATACTTAAATTAGGAAAAAAGAGAGGCTGAAAATTAATAAGTTGAACATACAGGTTAAAATGTTATGAAAAACTGGGTGACAGTGGCTCACGCCTGTAATCCGGGCTACTCAGGAGGCAGAGATCAGGAGGATCACAGTTGAAACCAACCTGGGCAAATAGTTCGTGAGATCCTATCTTGAAAAAACCCATCACAAAAAGGGCTGGTGGAGTGGCTCAAGGTGAAGGCCCTAAGTTCAAACCCCAGTACTGCAAAAAATAAATAAGTAAAATGTTTTGAGAAGTCACAACTGAGTAAACAAAGAAATGAGAAAAACAGTATTTCCTCCACGCCAAAGTCTGATAAAACATCACAAGAAAGGAAAACTACAGACCAATATTCCTCATAAATACAGATGCAAAAACCATTAATAAAACAAGAGCAAACCGAATCCAATACCCAGGAAAAGGGTTATACGCCATGACCAAGTGGGATTTGTCCCAAGCATGCAAGAGCGACTCAACAAGAGGAAAACAACCAACGTAATGTGTGCCCATTACAAGAACGAAGGAAGAAAATAAATCATAGTTTCATCTCAGCTGCCTTGAACAAAAGTCAACATCATTTCGTGATAAAAAGCATTCAGAAAAGTAGGAATAGAAAACCACTTCCTTAATAGGAGAAAGGGGATCTGTAAAAGTCAAGGTGCCCTGAGCTGAGACAAATGCCTGATTTAAGGTTACTTTAATTTAATCCCTGATAAGGTGAAGGACCACTAGCAACTTTTCCAAAGCGAAAGTAGGTCTCTGTGAAGGAAGATGATATCGTATGGAGTCTCAAGTTATCTCTAGATATGTCCCTGTGTAGCGTTAGGGACATGAGGGGACAGCAGCGCACACGTGCTAAGCAGCAGATCCACAGACAGAATGCTCGGATAATGGAATTATTAGTTACAGGCCTCAGAAGGACCCTGCCTAACACGTTAGGGAAGGGAGGATAAGACTGAGTGTCTAACAGAAAACTGAAAAGTATTTTTTTTTTAGAAGATTCAAAAGGAAACTTTAAAATGGAAACCCGAAAAAAGAATTCAACGGATAAGTTTAACTGTCGAAGAAAAAGTAGTGGAAGAAATCCACTACCTTAAGGCTGCACAGGCAAAGAAAGGAAAATACAGAAAAGAACGCCAGTCACTTGGTGAAGAGGAAAAAATCTAACAAATGGCTGTGAACTGCCCAAGACTGCAGAGCAAAAGACCTCAGACCTGAGACCTACACAAGAGGAATTTATTCTTCCACCATTCTGGAGGCCAGAAGTTCATTACAAGTCTCCCTGCTTAGAAGTCAAGGTGTCCAGGGTAATGGACCCTCAAAGGCCCTAGGGAGACTCCCAGCTTCCGGAGCTGCTGGTTATCCTGCACTTGTAGTAGCGTCATGACCACCTCTGCCTACATCTTTCTACCCCGCTCTGTGTGTATCATCTCTCGGTCTCTTTCTTAGGACCCACTTGGATAACCCAGGATAATCCACAGTCACATCCACAAAGAGCCTTTACTGTGCGAGCTAGCATGTCCAGCTTCCAGGGATGGATGAGTTCTCTTTGGGTGACCATTGCTCAGTCACGTAGACGTCCTGAAGACAGAAGAGAATGGAACACAAGCAATATTTGAAGCACAACGGCTGAGAAATTTCCAAAACAAGTGTTTTTAAAAACTGGCTTTTGATAAGGGAAATGCAAATCAAAACCACACTGAGATTCCACCTCACCCCTGTTAGAATAGCCATCATCAAAAACACCACCAATAACATTTGTTGGCAAGGATGTGGGGAAAAAGGAACCCTCTACACTGCTGGTGGGAATGCAAGCTAGTGCAACCACTCTGGAAAACAATATGGGGGCTTCTTAAATATCTAAACATAGACCTGCCATATGATACAGCAATCCCACTGCTGGGGATATACCCAAAGGAATGCGACTCAGGTTACTCCAAAGGCACTTGCACACCCATGTTTATTGCAGCACTGTTCACAATAGCCAAGTTATGGAAACAACCAAAATGCCCCACTACTGATAAATGGATTAAGAAAATGTGGTACTCGTACACCATGGAATTTTACTCAGCCATGAAGAAGAATGAAATCTTATCATTTGCAAGTAAATGGATGGAGCTGGAGAACATCATTCTGAGCGAGGTTAGCCAGGCTCAGAAGACCAAAAATCGTATGTTCTCCCTCATATGCGGACTTTAGATCTATGGCAAATGCAGCAATGTTGTTGGACTTGGGTCACATGACAAGGGGGGAGCACATTCGGGAGGAGTGGGGAAAGGGAAGGAAATCCAAAACTTGAAAGTGTTTGATGTCCCCACTCCAGAGGAACTAATACAGAAACCTTAAAGTGACAGATATGGGAAGGTGATCAGGAACTAGTGAAAAGGTCAAGTACAGATGAATAAATTCTGATTGTAACACATTTGTACATGGAAGCAATGCTAGGAATCTCTCTGTATAGCTATCCTTATCGCAACTAGCAAAAACGCTTTGTCTTTCTTATTATTGCTTATGTCTTCTCTTCAACAAAATTAGAGATAAGAGCAGAACAGGTTCTGCCTGGAAGCAAGGGTGGGATGGGGTGAGAGGGATGGGGCAGGGGGCAGGGAGTAGGAATGGCCCAAACAATGTATGCACATGTGAATAAATGAATAAAAAAAATCCCTGGGTTTTGATCCATGGTTTCAAGAACTCCAAGCAGGATTAAGTGCAAAGGAAATCAAACATCACAGTAAAACCACTGAAAACCAAAGACACAGTCTTAAAAGCATCCAAAGGAAAACCGTGGAAACCTTTCAAAAAGCAACAGTAAGACTTCTAACCCCTAACCTCTCGAGGAAACAAAGTAAGCCAGAGGACAGTGAAATAGAATGAAGTCCAAATACATACATACACACATACACATGCATGCTACAGCAAAAATATTCTTCAACCTATGGGTGATTCTTTGTAAATTAAAACAAGCTAGTGGTACGTGTCTGTAATCCCAGTACTCATATGGCTGAGGCAGGAGGATGGAGAGTTCAAGACCAGCCTGGGCTACATGGTGAGACTGTCAAAAAGAAAAAAAAAAACAAAACATATTAACGGACAAAACGAAAAGGCAGGGCTGTAGAGATGATCCCAGATGGAAGCTTGGACAGAAAGGAAGTGATGAGAGATGCCGAGGGCCATGTCCCAGGTTTTTAAGAGGCACCTGGAGACGGTTCACTGGCCAAAGTGGGACCGTTTGTGAGAATTACAGTGGCATGAGGGTTTGAGAAAACCCTCAAATCTGTCTAAATCCACAAGCCGATGATCCTAAAACACAAAAAAACAAAACAATGGAGGATGATAAGGAACAAAATAATTCTTAAAAGTTGGTAAAGGAGGGCTGGCAGAAGGGTTCAAGTGGTAGAGCACCTGCCTAGCAAGTGTAAGTTCCTGAGTTCAACCCTGAGTACCACTGCCACCAAAAAAAAGAAAAAAAAAAAAAAAAAAAGGTAAAGGAAAAAAATGCTGTAAAAATCGGTAAAGGAGCTGGGCACAGTGGCTCATGCCTGTAATCCTAGCTACTCAGGAGGCAGAGTTCAGGAGGATGATGGTTCGAAGCCAGCCTGGTCAAATAGTTTGAGAGACCCTATCATGAAAAAAAAAATCACAAAAGAAGGACTAGTGGAGTGGCTCAAGGTGTAGGTCCTGAGTTCAAGCCCCAGTACTGAAAAAAACAATTGGTAAGGAGGCCAGTGGCTTGTGGCTATAATTCTAGCAATGCAGGAGGCACAGATCAGGAGGAAAGAATATTGAAGCTAGCTCAGTGAAATAGTTCTTGAGACCCTGTCTCAGAAATACCCAACACAAACACAGAGCTGGTGGAGTTAGCTCAAGTGATAGAGCACCTGCCTAGCAAATATCAGGTCCTGAGTTCAAACCCCAGTACTGCCTTGGGGAAAAAAAAAAAATCTGTAAAGGAGACAGATGCCGGTGGCTCTCACCTGTAATTCTAGCTACATGGGAGGCTGAGATCGGGAGACCTGCTGTTTTGCTGTTCAAGGCCAGTCCAGGAAATAGTTCTGAAGACCCTGTCTCAAAAACAACCAGAGCAAGATGGACGAGGTGTGGCTCAAGTGGTAGAGCACCTGCTTTGCAAGGGAGAAGTCCTGAGTTCAAACCTTAGTACCTTAAAAGAAAAAATATGACAGGTTGAGGGGCACCTCTGTGGAAGTAGTTCCAGTAACAAATGAGAAAGAAATGTTAAAGTTGAGAGGCCACCCGTTTGCTTCAATTCGGTGCAGGCCTTGAACATCAAGGTCACCTACCCTCACAAAAAGGGACAACCAGTCCTGATGCTGCCTGAGGAAGGAGCCTGCTCTGCCTGTACCTACACGGGATTGAGGAGAGGGTGACCAAGACTCTAGATCCAGCTCATAAGTGACAGGCAATGCCAGGACAAGGATGAGTGCAGAGCTGAAATGATTTCAGTAAATTGGACATTTCTGAGCACACAGTTGGGATTATGGACAAGTGCCAGGGTGGAGTCTGGAGCAGGAAGGGTGGTGTTTGGGTGGGCATTCTGGGCTGGGTGGGGGAGGCTAAAGGCTAAAGGTGCCTGGAGCACGTGGCAGAGACAGAAGCCTTCAGGAGTCTTGGGTCCAATGCCAACCCTTCATGGCTGTGAGCCTCATAGCCTGGTCAAGGACTACTACCGTCCAGAAAACTCCATGGGTCAAGCTGGCTCCAGCAGGTAGGGCCTGAATTCTGACCCAGGGTGAAGTCCTGAGTGGGGAGGACATAGAAAATCTCAGCTTCCTAGGAGGGGTTGCCAGGGTCCCCGCACCCCATAGTAGGTGACATAAATAACTCCTGTCCCATGTCTCCTGGGCTGCACAAAGACAGGGAGACATGAAATCAGTGTTTCTAAATAGATGACTTTATTGAGGATCCTTAAGGTGTGGGGTGTCAGATCCATGGGCTCAGTTGGCTGCCAGGGTCTCCTGCACCCAGGGCAAGAGCTTGGCGACATGGGCATACACAGCAGGAGTGGAGGTGGAGCAGGTGCTGCTGCCCCAAGACACGATGCCCACCAGGGTCCAGGCTCCATCCTTTTGGCAGACCAGGGGGCCTCCAGAGTCGCCCTGCAAGAAGGGACAGAGGACTTGTCTCCAACCTGACTGGGGTGCCAGGGCCTGAGGTATCCCACATCTAAGTAACCCAGGCACACAGCAGGTGTGCCTGAGTTACTAGATGTGGGTTCAGTAGCAGTCCCAACTCTGCCATCTACTCTTGAAGGGACCTGGGCAGGTGACTTCCCTGCTCAAAGCCTGGCTGTGGTCAGTGGGTAGGCACATCCAGCTCATGGGGTGGGTGCCCATTGGGCCATCCTGTCCCAGGCTTGGCCAGAGGCATGTGTTAGCATCAGTTTCGCCTTCTGGGGGCACTGGAGAAGGAGTGAGGTCAAGTATAGTGGACAGGGGGGAGCTCAAAACTCCGGGGGCCAGTTGCCCTGCTAGGCTGAGCAGGGCAAGGAACTGTACCATGCAGGAGGAGACGCCGCTGGCTCCAGCACAGATCATTGTGTCTTTGATCTTGCTGCCCCAGACCTGCTTGCAGTCAGTAGTGGACACGAGGGGCAGGGCTGCCTGCTGCAACTTGTCGGGGGTCTTGCTGGCTGCAGGGATAGAAGGGCAGAGTCAAGGCCCGTGCAGGCCCCTCAGGGCAACGCCCTGGAAACCTGGAGAGTGACTGTGTGCCACCCAGCCCTAGATCTGCAGCCCCTGTGGTGTGGGTAGGAGGGGACCTGTGCTCTCAGCAAGGGACAGGGACAGGGCTGCTTCCTTCCTCCCCTTTCTTGCTGCTTCTGTCAGTGAAAGGAGAGAACCAGGGACCCCACAGTGAGCTGAGTCCTGGGCAGCAGAACTTTGGACTCTGGAGGAAGAAAATGAGGCTTGGAGTGCGGGGCTGAACCAGGTTACCCCAGGGCTCCCAGCCAGACTTTGGCTGCCCTGCTCCAGTGGGAAAGACCTACTGGGGGACTCTCCGCTTTAGGAACAGTTATTACTAGCTCTCATTTTTATTTGTGTTCAGTGGATGCTTTAATTTTTTTTTTTTTGGCTGTGCTGGAGAGCAGATGGTCAGTGAATGGGCAGGGGTGAGCAGCCACACTGTACCTGAGGAGACCCTGCTGGCCCCACACAGACCATCATGTCTATGAACTTGCTGCCCCCAAACTTCCTGCAGCTGCCAGTGGACAAGCGCTCTATCGCTGAGGGCATGCCAGGCCCTGGGTTGGTTAAGTCAGGGTCTCCCTACATGTAGCTGGAGCCAGGCTGGCTCTAACTTGTGGTGCTGCTGCCTCAGCCTCCCCAGTGTTGGGATTATAAGCATGAATCACCACACCTGACTTACAATTTTTTAAAATTTGATACATATAATTGTACATTTTTAATTCATATTTTTAAATGAAGAAATTGAGATATTGAATGTTGGAATTTAAATAAAAAACAAAAAGCAGCCTGAGCACATCTAGAGACTCAGACTGTCCAGGCAGCTTGGTCCCAGGGACAGCCTCTGCTGCAGAAAGGTCATGTCACACTCACCACTATACTTGGTCTTGCCCCAGCCTGTGGTGGCACACAGTGTCCCTGCAGGGAAGTCATCATTCTCACTGGGCAGGCACACCGCAGACACAGTGTGGGAGAACTGGGCAGGCGTGGCCAGCTTCAGCAGGGTGATGTCGTTGCTGACAGTAAAGAAGTTGAATTTGGGGTTCTGGAAAACCTGTGGGTGAGGGCAGATCCCCAGGTGAAGAGCTGAGAGGAGCCAGGGTGCTCCGGGTTTCCGGGGGACAGGTGGTTTCCTGGTGGCCCTATCAGGAGAATGAACCCACAGGAGGCAAAAAAGAGAATTCTGAGGCCAGCCCCAGCCCCAGCTCCAACCCCCTGGGCTCTGAATCTCCCGTGCTGGCTCTCCGTCCCGTGGGCTGAGCCCCTGGCCCATGCAGCAGGCTGGTTACCTTTGTGATCTTCAGAACCTGTATACTCTCCTCATTGGAACCCTGGTCAAACTCCCCAGCCACCACTACATCGGATGTCCTAGGCATTGAGACATGAGGGGGTGAGGAGGGAGAACAGGCCTGCTCCCCTCCCCTCCCCTCCCCAAATGTAACTGGCTGCCCAAGCCTCACGTGACCCCGCAGTGGGCGGCAGTGACCACCCAGTCTTCACTGATGAGGGAGCCCCCGCAGAAGTGGAAGCCAGTATTGTCCTGGAGAGGAGAAAGGAGAGGGTTACAACCCTCAGCTGGCCAGCACCCCAGCCTGGCCACAGCCTAGATAACCCCCCTTTATGCCCAGAATATCCCTCTCACCTGCAGGGACACCTGCCAGGGCCAGGAGCCAGGCACAGCTTCCTCCCCATTGACGATCCTTGACAGGCCAGTCAGCACGGGTTGGATGGCGGGGACCCCGCAGCCTGGGGGCAGATGGGAGTGAGGTGAAGAAGGGCTGTGACCCAGAGCCGGTATTGCACAACTCCTGGTGTCTACCTCAGCCTGTCCAGGCCAGCTCAGGACCCCACTGTGACAGTGTTACTTCTGGAACATCCCTTGGCTTCCCTTCAACCTCTAGGCTCAAGGGCCCCTCACTCACAGTCTGGTGACCTCAGTCATCCTTCTAGGGAGGCAGAGACATGTGCCCCCATCTGGGCCTTTCAAGAAGGAGCAGAAAACAGGCTGGGCCAGCAGACTACCTGTGCTTAACCTGTAGACTGACTATTTCTGTGCTCTCCCTGATTTTTTTCTTTTTGTTTTGGTGGCAGTGGGGTTTGAACTCAGGGCTGTGCATTTGCAAAGCAGACACTCTATCTATGAGCCACGCCTCCAGCTCTGCTCTCCCTGATTTTAATAACTATTTGTCATGAAAAGTTTTGGTTTAATTATTAAGATGGCACTTAGATTCCACACCATAAAAAAACACCTGGAGGAAGCAGTGACAAACAGAAAGTTGAGAGGACAGGTGTAGCACACACACGCAGGACACTCTTGCTGTGTCAGTAAGCAGGTCCTCACAGCAGGGCTTCACAGCTCAGCTGTAGGTTGGAGCAGCATAGCTCCCCACGCTCCACCCTGAAGCTTCTGGAGGCCTTATCACTTGCTCCAGGCCCAGCACCTGCCTCTCCTGTCCACAGCAATGAAGAAGGCCCTTCACTGATGACTGGTATTGCCAAAACAGTTTATAAGAATCTATTTTTATAATAGCAAGAAAATGAGAAACACTGGTTTAGTCACACAACAGGACGTCCAGATGAATGAGCTGGGTCCCCATGGCAGCATGGGGAAGTCTAAGACATGAGTAGAAAAAAAAAAACAAAACACATTGTCAACTGACACAGAGAGGAATGCTGTCATTTACATTATGTAAAATGTTTAAATCTTTATGGATTTACGAATATACAGTACATTTGTATAAGCCTGCATAGAAGTGACACACAGCCAGCTCACAACAGGGAGGGAGGAGGTAGCAAAAGGAAACTTTAGCTGAATCTAGTTCGGGTTGTAAAAAGAAGTATCTAAGCCAGGCATGGTGGCGTGTGCCTGTAATCCCAGCTACTTGGAAGGCTGAGGCAGGAGGATACCTTGAGCCCAGAAGTTGCCAGCCTGGGCGACATAGCAAGACAAAAATAAAGCAACAAGAACAACAACCAAAAGTCAAAAAAAAAAAATCTGAAATACATCTGCAGAAAGAAATCACTGAATCGTGACAGTAGAAATATGGGTCATACCATTTTCCATACATATAACTATTTCCTTCTTTTTTGAAATAGAATATTTAGCAAGTGCCTGGCTAAATCTAACCTCCCCTGGGTAGATGCCAGGGGAGGTCTGCAACCAGCCCTTACCCTGCCCACGGCTCTGCCACCTGGGCCACTTCTGGAGCCATGGACCACTGCTCATGTTTTCCACTCTCAGAGCAGAGTATGAGGGCTCAGAAGTCCCCCAAAGGACTCCTGACTGCCCTGCAGCCTCAGCTGGCCTGTGAGAGTGAGGCCCAAAAGGCAGGAGAGGAGGTTCATCTCTCACTCAGGACAGAACTGCTTGGGGCCCTCTGGTGGGGCCTGGCTGCAGGGGCCATGAGAGGCCCAAGGACCTCTTCCCCAGCCTCCTACCAGACCTGGAGGCCATTCATACCCAATACTCACCAAAGGTAGCCCCCACAAGGGCAAAGCAGGACAGAAGCCAAAGGAATGCCATTGTGCTGCTGTCAGGAAAGGTGGGGCCTGCCTGCCCTGGGACCCCTTTTATATTTCCCAGGGCCTTCCAAGTCCTGCCAAGTCCCTCTGGCCCCACCCAATCAGAGAGGCCTAAGAGCCACCCTCCCTGTTATCCAAGGACCTTGGGTGATAAGTGGGGGCCAAGCCCTTGTCATGGCCTGGCCTGGCTCTCAGCCTGGAAAACCCCAGCCCCTGGGAAAGGGACAGCTGCCCTGTGGAAACATCACCCACAAGCTCTGGCCACACCCAGCATCCTCCGGGCATAATGGTCCTCTCAGGTATTGCAGAGCCCTGTTTGTGCAGCCTTTGCCAGGGGGTGGGCAGGGACTCTGCCATTCGCAGTGTCACAGGGACTTTCTCAGTTACTGATCAAAGCAATTTTGTACTTCAGGGTTCAAAGAAACCCAGCTGCTGGTGGCTGGGATCGGAGTGGGACAGTCAGAATTTCTCCTGGTGTTGGCCCAGGGCGACAGACAGGCTGTACGCTCTCAGCAAAGTCAGTGGAGCAGTCAAATGAAAGCAAAGGGTTGCATGGGAATTCAGGATTATCCAGGGGTCACTGAGTCCCCAGTCCCACCAAGCAGTATGAGTGTGGACAGAGTAAGAAGGAATGGCCCTGGTACATAAGTGAACCCGAAGACAGTAGTCCAGTGACTGTGCTCAGCAGAATTTTCTCCCATGGTAATTCAGTTTAAGGCACTGGTCTTTGTGTAAAATTTTAGTTTTTTATGAACTGGAGCATGAATTTCACAGCACCAAAAGACACTAAGAACCAACTCCTTCTGCTGTCACAGAACAATAAGACAGTACAGGTGTGCGGATGTTTGTTGGGAATGGAGGCCAAGTGACTTCTTAGCACCCTGTGTTAGGGTCCCTTTGCTCACAGACACTTTGTCCCTGCTCATGTGGGAAGAACGGCTAGTGACAGATGTGAACTCAGCGCAATGACATGTCACAGGAGAATGACGTCAGCAGCAGGACTTGCTGCTGCTCTGACAGGCACTGCACAGGCCCCCTGTTCAGGCGACCAACAGAATGCCACTGTAGGTGAACCAAGTCTTCACTGAAGTCCATGTGGCTCTATAGCCACCAAGGCCATGTCACCACGGCAGAAATTTGTCCAAGTGAACAGGACAGTGTCACCGGGCTTGTTAAAGGCAAAACTATTGATTTGAACTTGATTTGTCTTGAAGTTTTATTTGTCTTTAACTTATAAGTTCAGGTTAAGGCTTGTGCATTCTCCAGCAGGGAGGATGGTCACAGGTTCAGCTTCTGGTCAAGCAAGAGCACTGGCTCAGGTGCAGAGGCCAGGCCACTCTGGAGGGGGCAGGGGGGTATAACATGTACTGAAGCCTGTCTTCAGGGCTGCAGACCTGGCAAGGGTGAGGCAGAGGGCTGCACCAGCGTCTCCCCGTAACTGCTACTGGGGTTTCCAGCTGGTGTGGCTGCCTAGGGTGTGGCCACTGAGAGTAAGGAGTTCACCTTTCAGCACCAGGCCAACATCATTGATTGAAATATTAACATTTGTGTGTGTGTGTGTGTGTGTGTGTGTGTGTGTGTGGTTTTTATCTGAAGCAATTTCTCTTGGTCCCCAGCCCATTGCCCAACTCAAACCAGCTCAGGAGGCATGTGTGCCCTGGAGCAAGGTGCCAGTGCTTTTAGAGTGACAGTCATCTCCCCCTTCCTGTTAGCACAGAGGCTTCTCCCCTCACCCCAGCTCTTGGGAGAGAAATTGATCAATGAGAGTCTGAAGAGGGAGAGAGAGAGGCGAGGAGATCCCAGCTGTGGCTGCCCTCTGACATCCTGATGGGGATGTGGAACCTCGGCCACCCTCTTGAGACCATGAGAGGAAAAGCAGACCCTCATCCAGAGCCACTGAGCAAAGGCTGCAGTCGCTTCCTCCACATCCTGGTCTACATCAGAAGACTAACCCTTGTTACTTATCCACTATCAGTCACACATTTGATTACCAAAAGTGTCTCACATGACACAAATGCAAAAAATTACACCATCATGATGATGCTGGGTGTCTTCCACCCACTTCTACCCCTTTCTGGCCTCCAAGAGTGGAAGAGATGGGACTGCAGCCATGTTTCCCAAAAATTGCTTCAGGCAATGGGAGGCGCCAGCAGGAGCAGCCCTGGAGAGGTGGGAAGAAAGAAGAGGATTTATTTCTCTGGTTCCTTCCCACAGATGGCGATGGGGGATTGCCCACTCCTCAGAGGCTATAGTCCCTTTCAGGAGTCACTCTCCACACAGCCACACTTTCTGGGTTCTGTGACAACCCTGCCCTAGTCCCTTCAGCTTCAGGTGTGTCCCCATTGTTGCTGTCCTCTGTGCACTTGATCGTCCTGTGTCGGTTTCCCCAAACTCTACCACAGCTCTGTAAAGTTCCCTTTAGTAAAACTGTCCTCAGATTACCAGGTTGAGTGTACCATACTGTTTTCCCCAGGACCATGACTGAGACGCTAATGGCGGCTCCAGGTAGTGAAGATGGGATTCTGCTACTAGGTTGCTGACCTATGTGAGGAGTTCATGGAAAATCTGTTTTCTGGGGAAGATGAGACCCTGGTCTCAGTGGCATCACAGTTACTCTAACACTGGAGGTGGCACAGGTGGGAAAAAGGCAGAGGAGACCATTGGCTGTGGCACTAAGTCCCACAGCATCAATGAGGTGATCAAAATCACCAGTGATTAAGGAAATTCAACGCAAAACCACAGGAGGTAGCCCTTTCCGTCTACTCAGGATGGCTATGATTTAAAAGAACAAACCAGAAAATAAAGCTGGGTGTGGTAGTAGGCACCTGTACTCCCAGTGCTTGGTAGACTGAGGCATGAAGACTGTGAGTTAGCAGCAAACCTGAACTGCATAGTGAATTTGAGGTTAGCTTTGGCTACATAGTGAGACTAAGAAAGAAAATTGAGTGAGTGAGAGAGAGAAAGAGATACAGAAAGAAAAGAAAAAATTGTGTGTGTGAGAAAGAATGATTGAATGAAAGGAGAGAAAGAAAGGGAAAGCAAGAGAGAGAAATGAAGAGAGAAAGAAAGACAAAAAATAACAAGTGTTGGGAAAAAGAAAGCATGGAAGGAAGGAAGGAAGGAAGGAAGAATGTAACAGATATTGGGGAGAACGTGAAGAAACCCCCAGTGTTAATCAACCAATGAATGGATAAACAAAATGTGGGATGTTCATACAATTGAATATTACTCTGCTATGAATAGGAATGAAGTTCTGACATGCTACAATGTAGATAAGTCATGCTAAGTGGAGTGAGTCAGTCACAAATGACAAAAATTGTATGATTCCACTTATTTGAAGTGTTTTTGATAGGCAAATTCCCAGAAAGACAAAAATTAGACTGGAGGGAGAAGGGTGAGGTATTGTTCGGTGGTTACAGAACAGTGTTTGGAAATAGTGGTGATGGCTCAAAACATGTGAATATAATTAGTGCCACTATGGGATGAATTCGTACATTTAGAATAATTAAAATCACAAACTATATGTTTACCACAATTTTTTTTTATTTGATGGGACTGGGATTTGAACCTAGGACCTCATGCTTGCAAAGCAGGCACTCTACCACTTGAACCACACTTCCAGCCTATTTTGCTCTGGTTATTTTGGAGATGGAGTCTTGTGAACTCTTTGCCCCGGCTGACCATGAACTGCAATGGTTCTGAGCTCTTAAGTAGCTGGGATTACAGGCATGAGCCATTGGTGCCCAGCTTAGCACAACTTGAAACAAATGTAATATACCAAAATTCACTGAATCATATGCTTTAAACAGTGAATTGTCTAGTATGAGAATTATATCTCAATAAAGATGTTAAAAATAGTGTGAACTCAGACTTCTGACGGCCCTAAAAAGAAAACCCAGGGGAGGTAGAAGCTGAAGAATGTGAGTCTGTGATTTAGGGGCTGACAATTAGCCCGGCAGCAGCTATGCAAGGGTCCCCTCTCCGGCGGGGGGCTCACAGGATGGTGGTGGCTGAGGACGAGCATGGAGCCTGACCGTAAGGGTGAGAGGGCCACAGGGCCTAGGAAATTCTCACCGCTCGTCTCCCAAACTCAGGAGCTGTGGGGCCAGCGGGGGACCCTGAGACATGGATGAGGGGCTTTGTAGTTTGAAGCCCTGAGGCGCCCTGAACCTCCCTTCCCAGCACAGCTATCCCTCCCCCTTCTGAAGGAGCCATCTTCCTCTGCACAAACTGGTGGAGCCCGCCAGGAAGATGTCAGAAATCTCCTCAGAACCCATGCCACCAAGTCCCCATGGCCTCAGGCCCTTGACAAGAGTCGTTCCTGTGGTAGATTACAAAATGGCCACAACGCTGCATCTCCCTGTAGTCACGCCTGCCATGAAGCTTGGTGTGAAAGGTGAAAAGCAGAAAATACAAAGGCCACCACCACAGCGCACATAAACAGAATCCTCAGGCCTCCCCACAGCAACCAGCCCAGACGCCGGCAGTAACCAAGCGATGACAGTCAGCCCCAAAGGGCCAGCACCTGAGGTGTCCCTGACAATCTTCCCTAATCTTTGTCTCAATTCCAATTTAGGACCAATGGGAGAAAGCCAGTAGGCCCCCTGCACAACCACATGCTCTGCCCTACTGTCGTCAGCCTGTGTCTGAGCCTGTTTCATGTTGCTGTAAGTGGCAGAGGCGGGGTGACATAACAAACAGAAATTGACTTTTCTCGCAGTTCTGGAGGCTGGAGGTCCGAGGTCAAAGTGCCTGCAGGCCTGCAATTCTCAGTTCAAGGTGGCACCCAGACTCCTATGTCCCCACTTACTGTCTAGAGGAAGGCAGAAAGGGCCTAAAGAGACAAAGGAGGCTGAGCTCACTCTTTTATACGGGTGTCAATCCCACCTGTGAGGGCAGAGTCCCCAGGACCAAATCACCTCTTAACGTTTCAGCCTCTTAATTCTGTTAAAATGGCAGTGTGTGTGTGTGTGTGTGTAATGAGGCGCTTGCCTACCACTG